CTCTTTATTTAAAGATGTTTCAACATTAAGAAATAAAGAAAAATTGAACATCTAAAAATTAGGAAATGATGCTATAAAAAGAATAATGTTGGAAACTGATTAACCAAAAATATATTAGTTGTAAGTCTGCTATAAAAATATACATAATAAATATATTATAAAGCAATTTGAAAACTAAGTTTGAAAAAAATGTAGCAAATTGCTGGGAGTGTTACCACACAGCTGTAATCCCAGTATTCATGAGGCTGAGAAAGGAGGATAGCAGCTTCATGGCCAGCATAGGCTAGCTAAGAATTTTGAGAGAACCGCCTGGACTATAGAATGAGATTTTGTTCAAACAATGAACAGATTTTTAATAATAATCTCTCTCAGATCCTGAGAGGTCAGAACTCTCAAAACCTCAGAACTTCCATATGGTGCATTTAAATGGTATTGTTTGTTCTTAAATCTTAATGTTACAGAAATAAAAAATACTTTTAAAAAATAATATAAAAGAAACAAAGCAGAAAACAAAATCCAAGCAATTAGACCTTGAATAACCATGTAGATGAGTTTAAATTGGCAAAATTCTCTTAAAGACTATATCCAAGACTATAAATAAAATAAAGTGCTACAATTAGGATTTGCTAAAATTGTGTACATATACATGCATATATATACATATATACATACATGCATATTATCTTCAAGCTCTCATTTATCAACTAACAAAAAATCTTATTAGAAACTGCTAATGAAGCAGAGCACAGCTGCTTCAGATGTCTGGAAAACCAAAGATCTAAATCAACCAGAGATGGAAACAAGCATCTTAATTAATTTTCAATCTTCTCCACATAAGTGTTCATCTGGAGGTAAATCAGGAATAGTCTATCTCATGCCCTGAAGCTGTGATCTCCTTGCCACTCATTTAATGATACCAATAATTAAGTTAGTATCAGCACAAAGATGTTAGGGAGTTAATACCAGGGCAGCAACCATAATCTCACTATTGTTAAGATAGTAGGACAAAAAAGAATAATAAGTGAGATGAAATAATCATTCTGTAAACTCTTTAGTTACAAATATTTTAAGCAAATCTAAGATTAAAAAAAATCTAGTGAGAGGAAGATAGGTGGAGGACAATATGCTATAGTTATTATTAAAGGAAAAAATAGTTCTTTATCTGCTTTATATATTGCTAAAAAAAAGACCCTAAGACTGAACCAAAATAAGTCAGGAGAATAAAAATGTTAGACATATCTAATGGCAAATATGTATAAAGATTAAAAAAAAACAAGAGAGAGATGAAAAGTAAAAACATGAATAAGATGCCAAGCCAAAGTACTAATCCTAAAAGGACTAGAGTAAATACAAATAGATCAAACTCATCAATTAACTGACAAAGACTCCAGAGTATTTTGTATAAAATTAAGAGTCAGGAATGGGTTTGCTGAAGGAAGCATGTTTGAACAAATGGATATGGAATGTATATAAATAAAAGGATAGAAAAAACAGATACTGTGAGGGAAATACAAAGCAAAAGAAAGCCAATGTTGAACTTTTACCATAATAAAACCAAGTTTGGGGCAAAATGAATCATGACAGACAAGAAAGATGTTAAAATAAATCAATGAGAAGGGGAAATATCTGAATTAAAATTTAAACACAGAAGTTGTAGACACATGCTATATAAATCCTATTTATATATGAAAACCTCCATAACTACACAGAGACTATGGGTGCTTTGTTTATATACAAGGAACGGGAAAACAAAAGCTTATAAATTAAATTAGAAAAAGAGTTTCAAAGTTCTAAACAATAGTTACTATATGGAATATCTTAGAGCAGTATACGGTAAAGGCAGATCCTTATAACAAAACACAACAGAGTTCGATATGTCTGGGAAATTTAAAACACCACAGAATAATTCTTGTGTTAAAAAGGAAATCACAAGAAAACTAAGAAAGAAACATATGACCATGCCATTCTACAAGTAAAAAAGACACATAGCTAAAGTAATATTCAGAAAAATTCAGAAAAATATAGAGTTTCACCACACTTATCTGAATGCAAGAATAAAAACTAAAGAAGTATAATTGATTGACAACAAAAAAGGCAGAAATGGAGATACTAATAGGGAACAATATACTCTTTTTTAAATAAAAAAAGAAACCATAAGAATGTCAAAGCTAGCATAACAGATAAAGTCCTTGAAAAAGAAAGAAAAAATGAAAATATTCTAGTAAAGGACACAAAGCATATAAAAGAATAATATTTAGTGATGTTAAAACTACAACATTTTAAAAACAGTTTTATAAAAATAAATATAAAGTCAAACACATAATGCCAAAATTATAGGCCTCAAATTTGAGAACTTTAAAACATAATAGCTATTATAAAATATTTAAAAATTTCCCTGCAATAATGAACAGATGATTTATAAATGAAAAATAAAAAACTGCAGTGAATAGGCAATATGTCTCTTCTATAAGTCTTTTCTGAAATAAGAAAATGTTTCTAATTTATAGTGTTGCTAATGTAATCTTTGTTTCAGCTTTTGATAAATTCATTTAGTAAGGTTTTCTGTTATTCTTGGTTACTTATGTAACTAGCAGAGGATATTATGAAATTATTCAGAAGGTCAGGAAAAAAATGCTTGGGTTAAATATATATATTCTGTAAACTTGGATTAAGCGATTCAATGTGAAAAAAGAAATGTCAATTAATTTACTTGCTTAACCTACTTACAATAAAGGACAAAGGGTATTAAGAAAATGATTCAACTGTTCCCTTTAATAAGATGTAAGTAATAGAATTATTAAAAAGATGTGATTTGCTCCACCAGTGCTAATGTTTTTCTAACACAGTTACACTGAAGAAAGATAAGTTAGAAAGGTAGAAAGGTCTGAAATTGTTCAAGTTGTAGAGGCAAAGATTCTGTGGCGAATAACTTGTTCCACCAATCGGAGGGAAATGGGCGAATGAATATTAAAGTTCCAGTCAACCTGTCAACAATATGTTTGTGAAAACTGAATTAGGTTCCTATCTTCATTGTACAATTAATTCCTAGTCCACACTTGATATCACTCATTCACTGTTTAGTCTGCCAAGAACTATGCTGAGACCAAGATACAATCATGAGCAGAAACAGCACTCTATGTTAGTCTATATGCTTTTCCCAGTAGTATTTCAGTTAAAGTAGCTAATATAAAACTGTGAAGACTACAATACAACAGAATCCATCCACACAACAATTCTGTGTAAAGTGCCTCTTGTGGTACTGGACATGTCTGCGACCACACAAACAAATAGTGTTGTGACAGTGCACAGACACAAATGCTAATGTGCCATGTGGTCACCACCAAAAGCAATCTCCTGAAAAAATTAAGATATCAGGAATATATTGATGTTATATGTTAAATATAAAACAAAAAGAATTACAAATGATGTGCTATGTGTTTGTTCTTAAAGTGAAGGTAGATCTTCAATTCTTTAAAACCAAAGTTACATTAAAAAAAACCATAAGTGTGATTAATCAGGCTAAAAATAAATCAGCCATGTCCTTTAGAATGCGTTAGGTCATCAAAATGCTTCTGTAGAATGGTAGATAGCAAATCATATTGCATTTGCAGTCCAAACGTTTTGCTGTTGTGGCATAAAATAAGTCACAAATGAATAAAAAGATAGGCCTGACTGTGTTTGAATAAATTTTATTCATACACTTTTTTAAAAGGCAGTAAATCGGATTTTTCCAATGTTGCATAACTTGCCAACATCTGGTCTGGTCTAGATCACACAGTCGTCCATACAATGATGCAAATCTAAAAGAGTATTGATGGAACATGGTAGAAAATGAAGGATACAAGCATCCACATATCACTGCTACCTTTTTGTCAAATCCTATAAAAATCCTATAAAAAGAATGTACACACTCCTTCTAGGTCTATTATCTGCTAGATACAAGGGTCATAATGACCTGACAACATGCAAGAGCTATATCATAGGCCCTTACTAGCACACTACCTTTATCTCATCATCTCTAGTATTTATCCAAGACATTTAAAGCATATTTCTGACCTTCTACATAACCTACATTCTTTGACTGAATCAGCTGCAGGTAAAACACCTTTTCCTCCCATCCAGCCACTTCCCGTAGAATGGTGTCTCTTTTCTGCACTGTTCTGTGACGCAAGAGCATTTGATTGGGGACTGACCCATCATGGTTGCTATTTTACATATTAGGTTGCTAACAGTTAATATGGAAGACAAGTTTACATGTGTAACGATATTTGTACACTCAGGATCTACTTTTTTGACAGTCCCTTACCTCTGGAGGCTGATCTCCTCAAACTTTAAGACTATATCACTTAGCATTTCTGATTGAGTTTAACTAGAACTCACTAGTGTTGAGAATGTGGGGTCAGTCTACATCATCTTTGCCAAGGGATTCAGTATTTAGCACTGGCTGCAACTTACAATGTTGCAGATGTTGAACAGCCTTCTCTCACAAAGGGAATCTCCTTCTCTCTCTTTACCTATTAAGGTAAAAGAGGGCAAAGCTCTTGTTGTTGCAAAGTCCTGTGATTTTCACTATCCCCTTGTTAGTTTTATTAACTCTGTTCAAAATCTGTTCACTGATCGGTTCAACCGAACCCTTAATGTATACCATCTGATTTTTATTAGGAAAAAAATAGAAAAAAATCACTGCCTTAGAGAAAAGCTCACCAAGTACTAAAACTTGTGCAAACTGAAAATAATGTAACTTGAACTTATCATGAAATTGCACACAAGTTGTATTATGGCCTGGCTATGTTGTAAACTGCTACTATGTAACAAGCATTTAAATTAGCGACTGTACAACTAAATTGACTTTAATTTTACTTTGAAATAACGCTACCTCAATAATGTTTTTAAATAGCTTTCATTAAACAACATATTCTTGACATATTATGCAAAAACTCCCACATATTGAAAATGAAACGGAAAGGGGTAGATATGTACTTTGTGGATCAGTGGCTTACCTCTTTGAACTTGTGACTGAGCTTGCTTGTGTCCAAGTCGGATGGGGAAAACATGTCCTCATTCTCAGGCAGCTCAAACACTTCAATAGCCATGTCACCACCAGGAAGAACAGGCCCTACCTCATCTTCTTCTTCATCTGTTGCATATTCTCCTGTCTGAAAGGAAGGGGACTTCAGAATCCAGCTGTCCAGTTGGAGGTGGGTTATTTGGAAAACTTTATAAGATAGGAATAAAGCAGGTTGCCAAATGGTAAAAGTCAGCTTTTTTAACCCAGCATGCCTCATGCAGCCAATGTTATAAACAAATGTTAGTTTATCCAGCCAAAGGAACAAGTCTGCCATACAAATGTGCATTTCTAAGAATCAGGAGCATTGAGAGTTGGTTTTTCAATCTGAGTTTTTTGTGATTTTACTAAATAAAATTCTGATGCTAAGGGAAACACGTCATTTCTTTAAATTCCCCCTTGTTGTATGACTAAGTCACGTAACACTGGAAGCAAGCAGAGAGGAAAGAGATTTGGGCCTGACATGGATGGAAGGGACCTTAACCAAGCCTTACTTTGATTCTACTCATCTTAGAGTTCAATCCATTCTATTTTGTTTATTAACTACTGTGAAGGTGAACTAGTGATAACTTGGAAGTTTCTAACCCTCAAACTGCGTATGAGCATATGCTGACTCCATAGGACTTTTATAAGTCTGAGTATTTTGTCAAAGTAAAAAAAATATTTTACACCAAATTCTAGAGTCGTAGGTTATTTTGAAAAAAAAACCCTAATATCTGCCAAAAGAAGTATACTGTGTCATAAGAATTACCCAAAGTTGGTCATGATTGCCCCTTTTAAATAGATCATACACTTTCGTTCTTTTCTTTTCTTTTCTTCTTTTTTTGGTGGTTGTGGGGCTTGAACTCTGGGCCTGGGCGCTGTCCCTCAGCTCTTCAACTCAAGGCAATTACTCTACCCCTTGAACCACAGCGCCACTTCTGGTTTTCTAGTGGTTTATTGGAGATAAGACTCTCACCGACTTTCCTGCCCGGGCTGGCTTTGAACTTCGAGCTTCAGATCTCAGCCTCCTGAGTAGTTAGGATTACAGGCGTGAGCCACCGGCGCCTGGCTCATACACTTTCTAATACAACAAATCTTCCCTAATGCTACATAGCTCTGCTGTTTGCCTCACTACTTTGTAACACCTGCTGGCCCCTGTAGGTAGAGTTCATGACCTCTGTAATAAATGTGCCTCTTTGCCACTAACTTCCTTAACATTATTGGAAAGTAGTGGCTCTTCTGGCAGCATCAGGCTATGAGACTGTAATTCAAACTAATTGTCTGCCATGTTTGCCTTAGATAATTTCAAGACAAATCACTGATTCACACAGTTAAAAAGACAAAGGACCTCTAATCCATCTCCGTTCCATCAGAGAGTTCTTTTCACACATGAAATACAGATAGAAATTCATATTGCCTGCAGAAAACTTCCATTAACACTGTACCAAATGGTCTATTCCTTTGATTAAGAAGGCCTAGCATCCTGACTGTTGCTTTTCCTTTTTCTTTTCCTGTTCAATATTTTTCCTGACATGAAAGGTATTTGCTCATTAACCTTGATGTGTTAATTCCTAGTGTCTGAAATACCATTATTCCATTGCCTTTGGACTTTCTTTCTCAAATGATGGCAGGCTCCTCAATAGTCTGATTCTTGGCAGTTGTCCCTGTGGCTGTATTCTGACTTCTTTCCAAGTGCCCCATGTTTAATTTGTGGTGTTTAGAAGGAGACACATTCTGAGTGTCATTGGCCACATAATAAACAAATAGCCCCAGCATCCTAGATGCTGCTTCTCAAAGATGCAATTAACACAAAGATCTTGACTTTGGTGATACTTTTTGACAGAAGTATGTTCAGGATATTCAGGGACAATGGTGTTTGTTTTTTTTTGTTTTTTAGTCGGTTGTAAGGCCTGAACTCTGGGCCTGGGCGCTCTCCCTCAGCTCTTCAGCTCAAGGCTAGTGCTCTACCACTTGAGCCATGGAACCACTTTTGGCTTTTTCTCCTTATGTGGTGCTAAGGAATCAAACCCAAGGCCTCATGCATGTAAGGCAAGCACTCTACCACTGAGTCACCTTCCCAGCCCAACAATGTTGTTTTATAACTGGCTACATGGTAGTTAAAATTCCCTTTTTTTCACGCAAATAAAATCAAGATGTTTGACTAAAAAGAAAAAAAAATCATTCATCTTCAATCTATATAGATCCCTAGGACCTGGGAATCTAGGACTCTTCCATAAATACTATTCCAATACTATTTGGCACATGTCTTTATGTGTCTGTGAGGCTGTACTCGATTTTTCTCTGCATACTCCATAACTGGGGATAGTTGGTCTCAGGTAACTTGTGTTTGTTAGTACAAAAGAGCCCACAAATCTTAGAAGTGCTCTAATTTCAGATTTGGTGTGGCATTCTTGGTAGTCCATTTCAAATATAAATATACTCATAGATATTCAGAGAAAAGGAGGGGGAGAGAGAGATATAGAGGTACAGAGAGAGTTAACAGGCATTTTGTAAATACTACTGAGCTAGTACTCATATAGTAAGAGGAATGTAGCAAGCCTAGTATATAAATAATCTCAAGAGATGCTAAAAGTTTGTATGCAAAGGTACAAATGTATGAACTTGTCTTTAAGCCTATAATCACAAGTACTAGTAAAGCAAACCTTTGTTTTTGAAGGTTAATGGCATTACATAAAATTCAGTTCTATATAATCAATTTGATGACTAGCATAAATGACTCAAAAAAATCTTAAGCTAAATATAAAGTCTGACTAAGCCATAACAATATGGCACATTCTAAACATGAATTAAAATGAATAATCTGATTTTTTGCTGGTTTGAAAATACTTATTCACTGTGGGTGCTAATTATATGTACAGCAGTACTAGGCTTTGAACTTGGGGCTGTGGTTTTGCTAGGCAGGTGCTCTACCTACTTGAAACATACCCCAACCCTTTTATGTTCTGGTTGTTTGTCAGATAGGCCTTCACTTTCTGCCATATCAGGGATTATTCATGCAAACCATCATGCTCAGCTTTTTCTGGTGAGATGAAGACTTGTAAACCATTTTCCCAGGCTGAACTACAAATGCGATCCTCCTTATCTCTGCTTCCAGAGTAGCTGGGATTATAGACAAAGGATATAGAATCCAGTGTAAAGGCAACTTTTTATTAGTGGGAACCAAATAGTAAGAATATGTAGACATACTAGAATCTGGAATACTTCTGAGAACTGTAGTTATAAGTCCTAGCTTTACAGAAGGGAAAGGATTTGTATGTTATGTCATGGAAGTGGTGAAGTGGTGATTGGAATAAGTATCTTGATTTTTGGTCACTTAGATCTGGGCTCAAATCCTAGCTTTGAGACTTTAGGAAAGTTAACTACTAGATTTAAGCTTTACTTTCTTATCTATGAAGTGAAAAAAAACTATAAAAAGAGCCCCTTATCATAGTAAAGTTTTCATGAGATTAAACTGGACAGTATCTGGGATGTGTTTTAACACAAGGCCTGTCATATGGAAGATGTTCCAAACTGCTGCTGCTGCTGCTGCTGTTGGTCACCAGATTATTTGCTGAGACTTGGGCTCACAAGTTCAATTCCTTAGACAATCTCCATGAATGAATCTTTTATAAGGAAATTGCTCCTCCTGAAATAAAATCTTTTGTTTTGCTAAACCTGTCCCTCTGTTACACATGTGCAGTAGCCACTTGCTTCTAACAAACAAGAAATCTTCCAGACCTTTGTATTCCTCACACACTGGCCCCGACTGCTGCAGTAGTCCAAGAGGAGTATCTACCACATCAGAATACCTAAGACATCTGCTGCCCTAAATACTTTACTAGCCCACTCCCTTCTGTTCCCTCTGTGTGGGTCACATTACCGATTCCATTTTGGTACTTCGTTGTGTGTCTTGTTTCATGAACATCTTTCATCTGGAAACTCCGCGCATGTGCCAGGTACTATTTATCTCTACAGTCTAGAGTGGGTAGGCCAGTGTTTGGCACAGAAGCCACCAAAAATGTTGCTGAATGAAGTGAGCTATAGCCACATCAGCACAGCACAATAGAGCCTGACTTTCCTGTTCATCTCAGCTTTCCAGTATGAAATGTAGCAAAGCCCAGCTGCAGATGGGGTCTGAATGACCCTTTAGGGGCTTTTTACTTGTTGTTAGGTTCAACCATTCATTAACAGTCTTTTTTTTTTTTGCTGTAGCAATGTTTGCTGTGGTAAAATCAGAGAAGCTAAACAGTGCTTATCATAAAAATAGCCTTAATTATGCAGTTTTGTGGCATTTTGTCTGAATCTGGTTATATATATATATATATTTTTTTTTTTTTCAAAATCAGTTCGGAGAGAGAAAAGAAGAAAGCTGCTTTTTCTCTGGAGGAAAAAAGGCTTCAAATGAAGATTGATGTTTAAAACATACCAATCTTCACCAACTATTGATATGGCTTGTAGCAGCAAAACCACCCTCTTTCCAGCAAAGGAATCTCCCTATTTTTGACCAGTGATTTCTGTATGCTCTAAGTTTTGTAATGTTGGGTCATTTCATCCCCTTGAATATGCTCAGCTATAAAACACTTTTTTCATAGGGTTGTCATAAATTGCAAGGTTTAAGCACAATGCATAGAATATGCTAAATGACTGTGTGATTTTCTGACTACAATTATACATACTACCCCTTGTTTCTACAAGGCAACAATAAAGTATTACAACAATCAAGAACATAGCTTTGGGGCTGCAAAGACTAAGTTCCCAGAAAAGGAAAGATTTATCTTTTGTGTGCTCTTGCATCAAATAGCAAAAGTTATCCTTCTTTTAGAGTTAACTAGTGAAATTATGTATTTTTCAGTTAAATCTTTCCATCTATGCGAACTCATGTTTTCTTGTGAGACAGTTCATGAGCTAGTTTTCAATACCCTTTCTTTTAGAAAGTATACTTCAAGAGCAGGGGCACTATTTCCTTTGATGGTGAATAGATGCTAAAATGATCCCCATCAATCCCTGCTTCCTGGGTATTTATAGTACCTTTCTCTAGAGTGTAGCATGGATCTATCAACTCACTTTTAACAACCAGAATATAATAAGAATAAAAGAAGTAATAGTGTT